CATTGAAGCTACAGCTATAACGTGTTATATACCAGAAAAACTCTGCATTTGCAATATATATCTTCGGAATAGTTTTAATTTCTCATTATCAAGCTTAAAAAATCTAATTAATCAATTCCCTAAACCATTTATTCTTCTAGGAGACTTTAATAGCCACAGTATCTGTTCGGACTCATAAATTCACCGGAAACCACAGTCATAAATGTAGGGTGTGAGATGCGTGAGTTTAGTTTTAGATCGAGCGAGTGCGGTGCGAATGATGAGTGTGTATGCCGTGTGACAGTTTCTTCGAACGAGAGTGCGTGCTAGATAAGATTGAATGAAAGGAACTGCGTCGAACGTCGTGATCGAAAATCGACACGAGGCGAGAATGTGTGAATGCGTGTGTGAACCTATGCCCGAGTATGACCATGTATGAAAGGGGATATATAAGAGGGAAGTTGGTCAGACTCGGATCAGCAAGCACAGAGGACACACCATACTTTCTTGTATTACACCGTTGAGTTTTATAAATACATTTAGTTTAATAATTGACAAAAAATTTACTCATCAGCACCACACCTCGAATTAAACGAGCCCTCTCGTCATTAAGTTGAAGTGAGCGCAACGATCATTGCGGTCTTGATTTGATCAAATTTATTCAAGTCGTGAGTTAGTGTCGTACAGTATCCTGTGGGGTTCAAAAAACACAAATACGAGAGGAAAAATCATAGAAGATATAATTGAACAGACGGACGACATGGTTTTGTTAAACGACACCAGAATGACCCACTTTAACCAGTCAAATGCAGAAGAAAGTGCTATTGATCTAACTTTAGTCTCATCAAACATCGTAGGCAATTTAGACTGGGAAGTAGCCGACGAACTGTACGACAGCGATCATTACCCAATTTTTATCACCTTGCTCAACAATCATACAGAATATCAACCTTCTACTACTCCATTTAACTTCCAGAAAGCTAACTGGGAACTCTTTCGATCTGAAGTTGAAATTATCAAAATTTAGATGACATAATGACAGAGTTTACAACACTACTAATCTCCAGTGTAAACAAAACAATCCCAGCAATTAAAGCAAAAAAGACCAAGAAACAGGTTCCTTGGTGGAATGATGAATGGGAAACTGCCGTAAAGAACTGCAAACACGCATTCAACATTTATAAAAAACACAAAACCTTTGCGATTAAAATTGAACACAATAAATTAAAAGCCATATGTAGGAAACTGTTCAAAGAAAACGAAAGAAAATCTTGGGTAGAATACACATCAAAATTAAATCAAAATACTCCAACTTCCAAAATATATGACAAAATAAGAAGAATCAACGAAAAAAGACGCAATACTCAAATTCTCAATTTAATTGATGAAAAAGGGAATAACATTACCAAATGAAGCGACATTGCAAATGAACTAGCCTACACGTTTGCTGCAAATTCAAGCGATAATAATTACCATGATGAGTTCAGGCAACGGAAAATTAAACAAGAGGAACGCAACCGCAATATCAATGAAATGATAGACTCAACATTCAATAATGATATCACGATCGACGAAATAAAAACCACCCTCCATCAATGCAAAAATTCAAGTCCAGGACCGGATAAAATTCTCAACAGAATACTCAAAAACCTACCACATTCAGGATTAGTAACTATCACCCTCCTGTTTAATGAAATATGGAATAAAGGCATATTCCCTAGTATTTATAAAAACCCGGAAAAGACAAGAGCAAAGCCAAAAATTATAGACCTATAGCACTAACCTGTACATTCTGTAAATTAATGGAAAAAGTTCTCAACAAAAGATTTAAAATACTACTAGAAAAACGTGACATAATCTCCCCGCAGCAAAGTGGTTTTCGCCAAAACAGATCGACATTAGACTACCTCGTATTTCTCGAAGCATTTATCACCGACGAATTCATAAAAAAATTCCATGTAATCTCAGTAAGCCTCGACTTAGAAAAAGCCTATGAAATGATCTGATGTGAAAGAATAATTGACATTCTAAACAAGTTGGAAATAAGAGGGAAAATATTGGTGTTTATACAAAATTTCTTAAAAAATAGAACGATCCAAGTCAAGATTAACGGCTTGCTATCTAGTAAAATACAAACACAAAATAGAGTTCCTCAAGGCTCTGTTTTGAGCGTTACCTTATTTTTACTCGTAATTAACGATATAGTCAATTATGTTAAATCCCCAACCAAGAGCTTCCTCTTCGCTGACAATCTGACAATTCTCTGCAGCGGAAAAAATATAAATATAACCAAAGGTATAATACAAGATACTATTAATAACCTCCACAGCTGGACACTAACTACTGGATTCAAATTTCCTCCTAAAAAAACTGAATCTATGGCGTTTGCACGGTAAAAAACTCATACGATCAATTTGGAACTCACACTAAACAATGCATCAATCACAGAAGTTACAGAAATGAAAATACTTGGAATGACCTTCGACCAAAAGCTAACCTGGAAAAAACACGTTGAAAAACTAAAGAAAGAATGCAACAAAAGAATGAATATCCTCAAAATACTTGCAGCCAAAAACTGGGGTGCGGATATAAAAGTTCTCACAAACACGTACAAATCAATCATTATGTCAAAACTAGACTATGGTTCAATTGTTTATAGTTCGAGCAAAGAAGTTACTCGCCTAAACCCTATCCACCACACAGGTCTCCGGATCGCGTTAGGAGCTTATCGGACGAGCCCAATAACCAGCCTACTAGCCGAAAGTGGAATACCACCCTTAAACTACAGAAGGCTCCAACTAATGCCAAACTACGCGTGCAAAATAGCAGCCACACCTAATAACTCAACTTTCAAATGTATATTTGGGAAAACTAACGACAAGAATTATTTAAACTACCCAAAATACCCAGCCCGTCTGGGCATGCGACTGAAACACTACCTAAAAACAAATAACATCTCACTCCCCAAAATCCTAACCCAAAGACATACCTCCTGAACATCAATACGTGCTTTCTATCCAAACACTAGGAAACCACAGTCCCAAAAACAATAACGAGAGATATATACACACATTTGGATCTATCAGTAAAGGCACAAATCAGATTATCCTGAGTAACGTATCAGAAAAAATCTCGTACTCCCTTCCATCCAACTGTCACCATTCTCCTCCCAAGTTTTGGCAATATCAATAGCCCTGGATAACCTCAAACACAAAACTCACGACAAATATCTTATATCTACCAACTCGGAAGCACTCTTAAGAGAAATTACGAACTCCTACACCAAAAGCTCTATTATAATTTCTGTCCAAAACAAAATTAACAAGCTAGAACACAGCAAACTGGAAGTAGAACTATGCTTACTTAAACATCTGCCTAAACACTACCACAAACTAAAAACACTATCGAAGAATGTTTCAGATATTAGTATCCCGTACGAAGACGCCCAAATTCATTTCGCCAAAGTAATAAAAAATCAATGGAACCAGGAATGGAAAGACTCAAAAAGGACCACTCTACATGAAATTAGAGATAGCATTTTTATGAAGAACCCAGGCTATAAATTAGACAGAGCTCAACAAGTTATCATAACTAGACTGCGAATAGGACATTCCGCAATAACCCATAAGTACCTATTGGAAGGAAATGCCCCGCCCAAATGCGCTATGTGTGACACACACCTATCAATTAATCATATAATACCCGAGTGTGTAAAACACAACTCCTTAAGAGCAAGGTACGGATTGACCAGGGACATCAAGACTTGCTTGAATAAAACAGAAGAGATCATCCAAGTTTTATCATTCATCAACGACGCAGATCTAAACAGAACCCTGTAATCAACTACGATCAATTGTATTACCTTACAGCATTAGCATTCCTATAAAATCAGGTTCGTAAGATAGACTATGTATTCCATTAGGAAACTGTAATTATCGCACAATTCATGTAAACAATTGGCAAATGTAGTCGCTAATGACCCTTGGTCGATGCGACGATCAATAAACAAATAAAAAAAAAAGTCATCGGCTCGCTACGCGGGTAAAATTTATCATATAATTCGGACCCTTAAAGACATCGTACGTATATCGGGTGGGCTAAATAAAGTGTTACAAACTGTTTTCTCTCAAATCACTGCAGATATCCACTTCATGTTTTTTCATTGAAATTAGACAAGGGAGGTGATCATATGGTGTGTGATACATTTTTCTGGGGCGGCTGGAATGGTGTTTTATTTTTTTTTACATTTTTTATTCTGCATGTGTAGTTGAAGAGTTATGATGAATAAATAAATTAAATTCTAACTACGTTTAGAAATAAGTATTTTAATATATGTACTGTCTAATTAGACATGAGAAGGAAGATATGATTTCAGCATGATAGTACCCTAGCGCGCAAATAATCAGCCCCTTGTACAATTTGATTTAAAAAAAAAAATGAAGGCAATATCTGGAGTGATTTCGCAGAAAACTCACCATCAGAACCGCGTTCTATGGGCAAGGCCGTAAGCGTAAATTTTTCTATTATCTTGGGTCGCAGACCATTGGTTGAGACAAAAGGTCGTCACTGGTTTAAAGAAACGTTACAGTCCCTTCTCAGTGGGGCGTGAACGTAAAAGATGAGCCATACTGGCCGAGTGGCCGCGTAGTGTCTGGATTTCAACGAAGTATCCCCGGGTAGCCCATAGACTACCTTTGAACAGTACTGGCTGCTAATCCTTCGACTATCCGGAGACACTGAACGACTTCGTCCACGAACAAATGTTATAGGTGTAGACGGTCTTTAATAGTTCATCACATTAAAGGTTAGAATACGTGAAAATTTCGAAGTCTTTGCTTCATAACTTTTCAATGGATAGATTCCTAAACTCAAAATTGATATTTTGCATGTTATTTGATACGTACCTTCGATCAATATAAATTTACAGTGAAAAAAAAAAGGTTTCCCAGAGGAAAAGTTCACCAAAAATTGTAGCAATCAGCATGTTGAAGTTCCAACGTGCTCGTGATGTAAATACCTACCCCAAAGCGCAGCGCAGAGTATCTCGCTGTTGAAGCGTTTCTTGTATTTGCGAATCTCTGGTGTGTCAGACGCAAGATCATGGCTGGTCGGTGTCACGTTAACGTTCACGTGTGACTCCCTCCTAGCCGGTCCAGCCCCGAATCCAAAGGTCAGGAACGATCTCTGTTTCTGTTGGAGCGCAAACGGAGGTGGTGATTTAACCGCTTGCCGATACTGCAACAAACATTTATCTCAGACCGTGTCCAGAAGCGGCGAAATGATTCTCGTAGGCAGAGAAATTATATACTATCGAAGAGGATGTGTATGTTACTATAACCAACAATACGAAAAACAAACAGTGTGGTAAACTCCTCGTAAATTAATTAAGAGGATATGAAGAGTATAACGAAAGAGAGAGAGAGAGAGAGAGAGAGGGGGGGGGATAATAAGTATGACATGCAATAAGAGTAAGTACAGAATTGACACGTACAGTGTAAGGTAGAACAGGTAGGTTTGCTTCAATAAAATCATACACATACGTCATGTTACCACAAACAAATATTACACGAATAGAAAAACTCCCGGTAAAACTACTTGAAACGAATGCAAGAAACAACGGAATCATACAAGCTGAAGCATAATATTTTCACTATGGGTCAAAGGATTTTATAAAAACCGACGTACATAATAATGTGGGTTTTTGATCCGTTAAGTATACCAACGAGTAATCTGCTATTTCCTTAACCTATTCAACTGAAATAACGAGTAAGATCGCGCTACGAGTTCAACTCGTAGGACATCCGTTACTTCGTAACTTAAATTGCGCTTCTTGATCACTGAAAACACATAATAAATATCGATCGAATGGGTTAACGAGATGATGATATGTTTGAAATCTTCTTGTAAATCTTATAATTGAACTATTTTCAATCATGAGTATCATAAAAATATCATAATAATATATTATCGGAGAACAGTGGCCAATACTTTTGACCCAATTGGTAATGAATATTGAATTTTTAAACGAATGGCAGATCACTTACTGGCATGCCTAATTTTATAAATCCATAAATCCTTAAACTACAGACCACTCGTCTCTGAGAAGAATTTGAATTTTTCTTTCACTAATACCATCTAATGGAGAGTTTCGGAGGCTCCGGGCATTTGAGTACCTTCAATTGACAGTAAGTGGCGCACTAATTCCGAAAGGATAACGACGTTTAACATTCAGTTCGTATTAAAAGTGTTACAAAGTAGTCGTTGACGGATTTATTTAACCATGAGACGAATCGTCTATAGTTAAGGGTTAAGTTTAATTTCAAATAACCATGAATTTCTCGTAAAACGTATCGAATTTTCTTCATCCTATGTACTTCCTAAAATACCAAACGTACGATACAAAATTTGTGTAATCCAGTGAAACATAATACCTCGATCGTGCTAGGAAAATCAGTTCGCTGCGTGATACCAAGTAAAAAAGGAACCCAGAAACCAAAAACGGGACAGGTAGAAAAAAAAGGTGGACCGACATTCCTCGCGGTGACGGTTTGCATCGAACAGATCGAAAGTTAAGAAAGAAACAGAGAAGGGAAGTTTTTGTTGTGTTTTCTCTCGTTTTCGTCTGTACATGTCAGGAATATATCATTCTCGTAAGAGGAAACACAAGCGACATTGAATTATAAATGGATAAATGAATACTTACATTGCAATTAGTATTGGGATTGGGATGGTCGGTAGAAAGGGCCCTGCCCTTCGGATTAGAGCTCCCACGTGTCCAACAACACACAACAGAATCCTGAATTAGTCACGCTGACAGACGCAATGTGACCGCTTACGCGGGATTCTCGCAAAATATAGAGGGACGTATTACGTACGATTCACGGATAATTTTAATAGTCGATCTATGCCGACCGTCCACATATAAAGCAATACAAACTTCTTTGGGGTCAATTATGTGAACCAAGTCGAGTATTCGAATATTTCGAATGATCGATTAAACAAGACGTTTGCCATGATACTCTTAAGTGGAGAACGAATTGAACTTTCCGAATTACTTATAATACTATAGGTACTATGTAATAGTTGAATAATCGACTTGGGCTAGTAAGACGAGATTCATTAGGTTTGGCTTTCGAATACATACTTGATTACTTTTAGTGTTAATAAACACTTGCCTTGTAAAGCTCGTGTAAGGAGGAATGTTTTTTATATTAAAAGCGTATGATTCTTCGTAGGATATTTGACTGATAATTAACCTTAGAACGACAACGTCTTTTCTTTGTAATGAAATGACAGCAGTTTTAATGTCGTAATATAGATAGCATTTTTTTTTAAACCACAGATAATACTTTTTTATTCACACGTATAATTCTACGTTACAAACTGAGCAGCTTTCGTTTCAAACATTTTTCGATACGACGATTAGTTTACACGTGAAGGACTGTTTCATCCCTTCCAACCATTTCTTTTTTAGCAGAAACAAAAACTAAGTATTCAATAGTTTTTGATTCTCTACAAATTCATGCCAGTTTGAACGAAAAAAAAAATTCGCTTTGGATATGTTCCCTTACAAGATATCTATAGTTTCGTTACGTTAAAGACACCGTGGTGGTCGCCTGTAACCTCAGGTTTATAAAATTAATGAAAATATACACAAAGTTCTTTTTTCTGTATCATTCCATAAACCATGGCATACATTACAAGGGGAAAAGGTCAATGTTCTAATGTTTATTTACATTTCTGTAGACAAGATTGAAATTCTTTGGAGTCGCCAGTGACCGTACGGTGTCGTTCTACGGTTAATTTCGAAGTATATCAAAGTGTGAATACGAATAATGATTGGGCCGAGGAAGACTTTTACGACTATTACTATGGAAGAGCTATTATTATTCTTTATTCTAATCTTGGAATAATATTCAATAGTTTAAGATTTAAATATTATCTTCGGGTACATTGTATAATTCGAAAATTCTCAGTTGACAGACACGTGGATTGTCGATATTTCTGAAAGTTCACAATTTTACAGGCTGGTTTACAGGAACATAATTCAGTTCCTGTACTACGAATTTTTTTTCTGTCAGAAGTTTATATCGTATTGTGTTCTTACAAATATATATTTTAAATTATTGTATTGAAAGTCTTTAAACTACTCTGGTATTACACGTTATATTAATTCACCGCCCAAAACTATCAATAGATACACCCACTTGCTAGAGGTGGAAAAGTCTATCGATAATTATCGATAGTTTCTATTATCGAAAACTATCCATATTTTTTATGAGTATCGATAGTTTTGGTATTTCCATTTCAATTAATTTGACCAGAACTTTATATGTCATTTAATGTGATTCAATGATATTCTCTGTTACACGCGATACAGTGCTATCTGTGGAAATCTCACAACTCGCATAAAGTGAACATACATAATACATATCTAATTCCTATTAAAAGTAGTTATTAAAAAGTATTAGAGATTAGTTGTTTAAATAGTGAGTACTAGTTTAGGTAATAATTTAGGTTTATTTTAAATTGTAAGGTTAAATTTAAGTAAATTTGTGATTTTTAAAAATGACATCTTTGGAAACGTGTTTACCAAGAAAAAGAAGCATAAATAAAAGTAAAGGTAATGAATATAATAAGTAGAAATATGTAAGAAATAGGAGAATGATGAAATGTACAACTATAAATCAGATGACACAATACATAGTATTGAATCTACATTTAAGCGCAAACAGAGGAGTAAGATGTTCACGGTGTGGCAATTCTTTAAAAAATCTAAAGATAAAAAATTATAAAAGGCAAAATATAATGCTTGTAGCAAGGTGTACAGAACAAGTGGAGACACTTCCAACTTAGCTGATAATTTAAGAAGATTTCATCCTTTGCTTCAAGAAGGAGAATATGATGAAATTTCTTTGCCTAGCACTAGCACTAGCTCAGATGGTGGTTTGAGCTCAGTGCGATCTACTTATAAATCAATAAGTCCCATTTTTAAAAAATCACTGCATTGCGATAATACCTCACAGAGAAAAAGGGAGCTAGAAGAACCTCCAGCAGTTATGACTGCAACTGATTTCCAGCCATATAATTTCGTAGATGATACTGGATTTCAAAAGTTTATGTATTTACTGGATTCAAAGTATGTACTACCCAGCAAATATACAATTAGGGAAAATGTAATGAAAACGCTATATCTACAGAGTTACAATAAATTGAAAGGAATACTAGGAGATGTACAGTATATTGGAATAACTATTGACTGTTGGTTAGCAATTACATCAGAATCATATTTAACACTAACTTATCAGTTTATAGATCAAACTTTTGAAATAAAAACTGCTGTGTTATGAACCAGACAATTACATGAAAATCATACATCTCAGAATTTACCTCATACAGTATTTGAGATTTTCCAAGAGTGTGTGGTGACAGATAATAGCACAAATATGTTAAGAGATGTGTGAGATGTTAAAAGTAAAACATTTGCTGTGCTTTGCACGTACGTTAAATCTAGTTGTTCAAGAAAATTTAAAATTAGATTGTTTTAAACATACCTATTTATGCAAATGTAAAGAAATCGTAAAATTTATAAAATCTAGCACGATTGCTACAGAAATATTTAAAAAGGAACAAAGAGATGAATTGAATCCAGGAGACCCATATAAATTAGTACAAAACGTTCCCACCCGCTGGAACAGCACCTTAAATATGATACAGCGTATAGTTAAAACACATGATGCCCTGAATCGGACTTTTTTGAAATTGAAAAAAGCTTCTGCACCATTGTTAATGGAAGAAATAATAGTATTAAGAGACATGGATGAATGCCTTGATATTTTTGATGTGGCAACAAAAAAAGTTTTTGGTGGACAATATGTTAGTATATCTTTCATTGTTCCAATGATATTTGTAATTAATAACAATCTAAACAATCTGATACCTACGTTAGAAGAAAGGAAGACATTTCGTTTAAATTTAACTGAATTCGTTAAAAAAAGACTTTTTACGTACGAAAATGGGAACACATTCCTAGAATTAGTACTATTTTAGATCCAAGATTTAAAAAAGAAGGTTTTGCATTAAAAGAAAATGCATACCAGGGAGCCATACTTCTTGAAAAAGAAATCAATTTGCTAATGAAAATAGCAAACGAGAATCAATGAGAAAAACAAATACCGGAAAACAGACTTTCATTGCTTAAGAAATCACTTCATTCCTTCATTGAGCAACGGAAT